TCCCCCCCGCAGCCCCTGCTCCTGGGCGGCGGCGGCGGGAACCTGCCCGGGGGCTCCCGCGACTACTCGCCACGCAGGATCCGCCATCTGAACGCGCAAAATTACGCGAACCTGGAAGCGGTGGCCAGGTCGGTCCTGCAGGGCCGCTTCCAGTTCCTGCACAGCTTCGCGGAGCAGTTCCGCCAGAAGATGCTCCGCCTGCAGACGCGGCGCTTCTCCAGCCGGACTACCTGGGGCATAGGTGAGCCTGCCTCCCACGGCCCCGCAGCCGCAGCCCCGCGCCCCAAGGATTGGAGGGGGTGTCTTCACTCTAAAAGGAGAGTCGCTTAGATCCGGTGTGTGGATTCCTGAGAACAAAAAAGGAAAAAGGAAATAAGAGGAGATGGGAGCGCTGGACACTCTTGGCAAAGATTCAGCCTCCTAAGTTCTTGTTTAAAATAGTTTTTTTTTTTTTTTTGCAGTCTGCCAGCATCAGGGCAGTTATGTATTGTAGTTTCTAAAAACAATTGGTTTGCTTTTGGACAGGCAGGGCTCCTCTGCATTTTAAATACAACAAAATAAAGTGTGTATGTGTGTGTGTGTGTGTGTGTGTCTGTGTGTCTGTGTGTGTGTAGGCCATGGAGCTTGAACTCAGGCTGAGCACTGTTTTATTTTGGTTTTCCCTCAAGGCTAGTGCTTTACCACTCTAGCCACTGCACCGCTTGCCGCTTTTTGGAGGATAATTGGGGATGAGTCCCACAGGCTTTCTTCCCCAGGCTGGCTCTGAAACACCATCATCAGATCTCAGCCTCCTGACTGCCTAGGATTACAGGTGTGAGGCATTAGGCCCAGCAGTGGGCCTAATGTTTTTGGGCCTTTTGTTTTTGTTTTTAAATAGTGGGTAGGAAGTGGAGATCTCCTTTGGAAACCAGTCTGGGCAAACCCTTTTTGAGATTCCCCCTTCCCCCCAAACCTCCATACCTCAGTCAATATGGTGATCAATCTCTGTGGTCCCAGCTGCAGGGGGTTTAAGTTGGAAGATCCCTGTAGGAAGCCAGTCTGAGCTAACACTAGGGATTCCAGGAAAGCAAAAAAAAAAAAAAAGGTTAGGTTGTGGCTTAAGTGGTAGAACACCTGCCTAGTGTGAGGACCTGAGTTCAAATATCAATACTACCGATAGATAGATAGATGATTTTGATAGATGATTGGTGGATGAATAGATAGTGATGGATGATAGATATGTTGATATCAATATCAGAGGAGTAAGGTCACCCCATGCTAATACCCACTGGCTTGTGTCTCATTGTGGAGTGCTTATCTAACAATGAAGAATGTTCTTAAGCAATACTTGATTTTTTTCTTTCCCCTCTACAAGTCTCATGTTCTGTAGCATAACTTCAATGTATTGCTGTTTGTGTAAAACAAATGTTTGGCTTAGTCCTTGGTCAGATTGGCACTAATGTAGACAGTTGACTTGTGCAAGTTATTATAGTTTCCTGTTCACCATGTGCTCACTGACTTCTGATATCTAAGGAGGATGAGTCCCCACATTTAGGGGTGTTAACCAAACTTGATGAATAATTGGATTTCCTATTTTGATTTTATCAGTTGTCTGATTATGCCAACAGATCCAGCCACCTCCACAATCAACATGGGCTTTTGAAATACAAGACATTGTTCCAAACTCAAGCTCCAGGGTACCGCTGCCTGGCACCTGGGTGGCACCTGGGTCCAGTGTTTCCGGAGCTGGGAAGAGAAAATTAATACTGAAGGATGGGAAATGGAATCTGAGATCAGGGAAGATGGAATTTGGAGAGTGACAAGGGGCTAATATTTAGATATGAGGGGGCTGAGGGAAAGTATCCAAGGCCTGATAGAATTCCATGATCAAAGTCATGAAAATAAGATACCATGACATTAATGCATGGTCTGGCTAAGAGGCAAGGCAGGAGAAGAAGAGGAAGTAGGTGATGGTTGAGCAGAACCCCTCTTGGAGAACCTAATTCAAAGCAGGAGCAAGGCATTTCAACCTCTTTCTGGACGGAAGCACTGATTGATCCTTTTCTTTACATTTTTTTCCCCAATGAGATGAAATTGCTTAACCTAAGATTAACCATCTTAAACAATTCAGTGGCATTTGATAAGTCTGCATCGTTGGTGTTGAATGATTAAGCTTGGAGAATGATTTGAACAAAAGGGGCTTCACCGAGATAAATTCAGCAGTGTGTGTAACCAGAAAGACTGGAGATGGGCTGAGAAAAGCAAGCAGAAAGATCAGTTGGTAAAATGCTCCTAGAATCCAGACTATAGCGGAGAGGAATGGAGAGGAGAAAGGTGAGTGCTGATAGAGCCAGAATGACAGGGTTAGGTAAGATGTGAGGTCGAAGTGGAAAGAGGGAGGAGGAGGAAGAAAGATGAAGGCTATAGTTTATGGACCTGAGATAATCTGGGTAGAAGGGAGTGATATTTCCAAAAGATACCAATGTGAAGAGAGAGAACTTGGGAAAACCTTTTTGAACTTTGTTTTAAGAGATGAGAGAAAAAGAAAGAACAAGGTAAGCATAGAAAATGGGAATCTTCAGAAGAACAGAATTGAGAGAGCATGGTGTGGCAGGAGAGAGAGGAAAACCATCCAAGAATCACACCCAAAACTACCAGAAGACTTAAGTGTAAGGATGGAAGGTAGAACAGTGGTTCCAGCCACTCAAGGGCCGTGGATCATTTAAAAGATTTATGGGAATTTCAACAAGAAATGGGCCAAGAATCTTGTTTGTTGAATGAGAGGAGGGAGGGAGGGAATGAGAAAAGGAGGGGAAGGAGGAAAAGAAGGAGGAAAAGAGAATCTGATAGCTTGTGGGAGGTGCTGTGAGTTTTGGGAGAATGAGAGGCAGAAGGGAAGGATCAAGGTCAAGTGAGGTCTTGGATTTGGGGAAGGAGGAATTAAAGCACAACTCTGAGAAGCTAAATTTGGATGAGAGAAGCAAGAACTACTTCATTGAGAGATGCTGAAATGGAAATAAAAATGTGGAGAGACTGAAGGATGGCCTTTGTTTCAGCCAAGTACAAGGCTGGGTCTCCTTCACAAGTAGGACAGGAGGGACAGGAGGCAGGAGGCAGGAGGTCAGCTAGCTGTAAGGGCTGCGGAGGGTGCTCTGTGTACTAGGGATCAGGGCATAGTTAGACTTCATCATTTTCAAGGGCAGTTGTGGGGAAGGGAGGTGTGAGCCAGGCAGGAAGATCCTCCAGGATCCTTTGGAAAGGTCAATGGATTGGCAGCATATTCCTTTTCTATTCATGTTCTCTTAAAAGTCAAGCACCAGTGGCTCATGCCTGCAATCCTAGCTACCCAGGAGGCTGGGATCTGAGGATCCTGGTTCAAAGCCAGCTGGAACAGGGAAGTCTGTGAGACTCTTACCTCCAATTAACCACCAGAAAACCAGAAGTGGCACCGTGGCTCAAGGTGGTAGAGTGCAAGCCTTGAGCAGAAGAGCTCAGGGACAGTATCCAGGTCCTGAGTTCAAGTTTCATGACTGACCCCCAAAAAAAGTGCCCTTAGGGAAATTTGTCAGTATATATGGTTTTTTGAGAGACTCAAGGTATAAGAATACAGGATATAAATATGGTGGAACAGGACAAGCTCTATGTCTTAAAGATAATGAAGGTTTATTGTGTGTGAGGGTGTCTTTCAAATTGAGAGAGGTGGTGAGGTTTAGTTTCAGAGTGGTTCACATGCAGCAAATGTGTATTTTTTTTCTGTAGAGAGCCAATGAGTAGATATTTTCTATTTTTCAGGTAACATGCAGGCTGTTTCATCTTCTTTTCCTTTTTCATTTTTACAACCTTTTACAAGCATAATGACCATTTTCAGCTAGTGGACATTGCAGAATGAAGACTTGGAAGACTAGCTTTCCCAGCTTGGTACAAAGCAGCGATTTACACAGCAGTATTTTAAGTTGGCCAACATAGTAATACAAACCACAGACTGGAGGGCAGCGTTGGGAACTTCAACATTGCAGCTTTAACTTCCTTTAGTGAATTAATTTGCATTTGTTTTGGTAGCCAAACTGAGTGATCTTCAAAGTTTTAAAGCAGTTCATGTTGCTTGCTTATCAGATAGCATGCCGAGTGCATTTTGGACAAGCATAAGGAACACCATTACAAAACATTGGTGAGAAAGCAGAACTTCAGAAATAGTCAACTAAATTGACAAGATATTTGGAAAATTGTCAAAATAAGCTTTTTTCATTTTTTAAAGAACATTAAAAGTTAACCCCCAAACCGATAAAATTCAATGAACATTCCTTGCAGGAGAGCCTGGAGCCAATGTAGGAAGTGGGGACTTGAAAACATGCAAGTTTCTAGTCACCAGAGGGGCTGGACCACTGAATGGAAGCTCTTCAGAAAGCCCATACCCAGAGGACTGAGTCTACTGCACCCCTCTCAGAGTGAGCAGGGGACTCTGCACCCTTTAGGGGTACCTCTGTCCAGGAGCTTGCAAGCAGCTAAGGTTTGCCTAGGGCACTGCTGGAGAGATGAACTTCTGCACTTAACCATCTTCAGAGGAGATGGGGAACACAGTGCTGCACAGTGGTTCCTGTGTTGCTAAAGACTTTCCTGAAAATATATGCCACACACATATGAATAGATAATAAAAGCTATAGAGAATAATACTGAACTATTAGAAAAAGTTTGGAAGCCCCCATTTCGTCACTCTTTTCGTTGGTGGTGGTAGTGGTTGTCATGGGACTTGAATTCAGGTCCTGGGTGCTGTCTTTGAAGCATTTTGCTCAAGGCTAGCACTCCACTACTTTGAGCCACAGCACCACTTCTGGCTTTCTGCTGGTTAATTGGAGATTAGAATCTTACATCCTTTCCTGCCTGGCCTGGCTTTGAGCCATGATCCTCAAATCTCAGCCTCCTGAGTAGCTAGAATTACAGACATGAGCGGCCAGCACCTGGATTTCATCACTTTATTTACAAACTATCTGGGGAGGCTAGCAGCCCCTCTCTTTGCTAAGTGTGAAATTTCCCTGTAGAGGCAAGCGTGCTTCTGAATTGTTTTCCTGCATGCATGTGGATGGATGTAGCCTCCTGTGCTGTGTCTGTGGGTAATGAATGCATTTGAAATGCTGCTTCTAAAAGGTACTTTCTAACAAGGCAGCTTTTGATGACTATTTCATTCTGCTCTTTTGTTTTATTTTCCAGCTGCCTTTGTGGGAGTTTTGCACTGGTAAGATTGCGTTTTATTTTTAAATGTGTTTTTAAAAGTTGGATTAAAACGTTACCACTGGTGGTTTCTTAGAACTGGCTATGTGCCTATTTAAATATATCACTAGCTATTTCTAGTGAATGTTGCAGGTTATTTTATCTAAAACACTTTCATTTTGTAGTGATAGTATGCTATTAGTACATAAGTATGGGGACACAGTTTTAGTAATACCACCCAAGGAAAAAGAAGGTAGAAATGAAGATAGACTCTTCGTGGGGCATGCATGGTGCCACATGCCTCTGATCTCAGCACTTGTGGGGCAGGAGGCTAGGCAGTAGGATCGTGAGTTGGAGACTAGCTTGGTCTACAGAGTAAGACTCAATCTCACACAAACAAACGAACAAAACGAGCAAGATTCTTGGCAGTGGGGAGGCAGAATTAAATGCTATTGCACCTTTCATTGTGCAGTCACCGGCACTTTGTTTACAAAACTGATGGCAACTTACCTATAAGAATCATGTATAAAACAATAGTGTTCCTCTGGAATATCTTCATTTCTGCCTGAGCCCGGGGGGGTTTCTTCTCTTGGGATTTGTGCCATGTTGTGTTGTGGAAGTGCCCAGTTGGCCTTTGGGTTTGCGGGGAGGTTGTTCTGTGAGTGTGCATCCACCCCTGGGCTTCTAGTTAATAGGGAGAGTGCAACTCCAAGTCCCAGATAGGATTTGGAATTCTGCTTTCTATTCAGTTCTGTGGGAAGGCACTACATAGGCAAGGGTACCATCACTGCTGGCCAGATGGGATTCTGTTCACCAGAATCTTCCTGCTCTCCTCACTTCACCTGTGGAGTTGCAGTCCTAAAATGCAGGTCTAGGGCTCCCTTCCTGTGTATTACCCATGTGTTCATGTGTTGCTCTGCTTTGAGCTGAAGTAATTCCACTTACTATTATTTTCCAGTGCTTTTGAACAGTAACATAAGGTATTTTCCCAACTGATTCTCTTTGGGTCAAAACACAGACCAGAGCCTGCCTGTGTTCTGACCTAGAGGCCTAGGAAAACAGAGATCAACACAGAAATTTTAGGTCCACAGCTAAGTTTGAAAACGGAGTCAGGGAATCTGAGATCTGTACTGCTATGAATTCTAAATGTCCCCAAATACGGAAGTGTGTAAGCAAATTCTAGCATTGCTTCAATGTTTATTACACAATTAACTTTCTCCCATTTATGGCTTTCTGACTGTGCTTATCCAAAACTTAAATTGTTTAGTTACTGTTTTTTAAACCTCCTCTTATTGTAATGTGATATTTCATTTTCCCCCCCAGGATACATCTAGTAACACTTTTTGAAAATGACCGTCATTTTTCTCACCTCTCATCTTTGGAACGGGAGATGACTTTTCGCACTGAAATGGTTAGGTTTCTTCTAATGATTTACTTTGTGATTTGACAATAGCAAGACTGTAAAGTTGAAACTGAATAAAACTGGAATGGATTTGGGGGTGGGAATTATATGTACTTCCTGTCTCTATAAACTTACGAGACTGCTACACTGGGCTAATGTAGCTTTATTTTCACCTCTAAAGCCCTTAGATAGCTTGAAGAATTAGAGGGATCAATATCTGTATGGAATTTGAACATTATTTACAGGGGCAGAATAGTCAGTGTTAGGAAATAAACCAGGTAGTTGTGGCAGTCTGGGCTTTGGTGACAGATCATCAGATTCAGACAGCTGTCAGTCATCTTTGATTTCCACTTTCTTTCCTGCTGAATTAAGAGAGCTGATCTTGCAGAGAGTAGTAAAAATGACGGCAGGTCCTGCCTGGAAAGAAGAGCTGGCACAAAAAGGATTGTTCATCATTACTAAAACTTACTAAGTTACTTACTGTTTCCCTAAATAAGCATCCTTACACCTGAGATCTCTTTTCATTTATGCATTGCCTTGGCTTCCTAAGCTGAAAGGAGACTCCTGAAGTGGAGTTGCTTTTCCAAATGAAACAAACCTTGAGGAAATGTTCCATCAGGCCCTCTCTTGACTTAGAAGAAGCTGCTAGTGTGTTAATTCTACCAAAAATTAAAGTAGCTGCCTGAAGCAGGAGAGCATGCAGATTTCAAACCTTCAGAAAAGTTCGTGCAACGGTGCAGTCATCACCCGACGAACATGCTTTCCTGAAGTCATATAATGCAATAGTAAGGGGTATTTGAGAGTCTTGGTGGTGACCTTGCTCCTCACTTCTTTTCCTCCAGAAGAATATGTTCTAAAAAGAGTATAGATGTGTCCATGGTTTACTTTCATTGATATTGTATGTCTTTTTCTCTCCCCCTAAATAAAAAAGGGGCTTTATTATTCCTACTTCAAGACCATTATCGACGCCCCTTCATTTTTGGAAGGGCTGTGGATGATCATGAACGACAGGCTCACGGAATACCCTCTGGTCATCAACACAGTGAAACGCTTCCACCTTTATCCAGAGGTGAGTCACATCTGCACACCACCAACTCTCTGTGCAGACTACTCTTTATTTTTTGTCAGATAAATGTAATAAGCCTAATAATGCTGAAGGAAAAAGAAGGGGACTTTAGGCTTAATGAGTTTAGATGTTTCCTAGAGTTAAGGGCAGGGCTCAAAATGTTAAAGCCCATGCAAACTCAAAAAAAACAAACAAACCCAAAACAGCGACCAAAGGTGCTAGAGAAGATGAATGGGAGATATCCATGAGTGCCAGGAAGGGCTCTGCATGGATGGGCACCATGACCTGGGAGTCATGCCACAAAAGTAGGGCTCATTGCTCATATGCCAGACACCCATGAAGATCCTCCTACACATACCCTTCACAAGGATGGATTTCTTGGGAGTCCGCAAATTCTAGAAGTTAAAAAACAAACAGGCAAATAAGCAACTCATTGTGGACAATAAACGTCAATGCTAAAAGTGACATCCGGGGGAACACTGCATCTGACTCCCTTGGAATCCAGCAGGTTCATTAAAAGCTGCTGTCGATTGAAAAATGCGGTGCCTTTTCTGCACACTTTTTATGACTTTCTGGCAATTATCTGTTGATTTGTTTTTAACTGTTTAACGTTGTGGAAACAAGTTCTTTGGTTATTGACAAATGTGGGGAGCTGTATGAGCACCAGCTCAGTCTAAGTATGAAATGTTCTCATCAAGTCATGGAGTTTCTGTGCACTCCATAAGGCCACGCTCACTCTTCTCCATTGAACCAGCCTGACCTTTTTTTTTTCATGCGGATCTTATGATTGTGGATTCATTTCTAAATGCTACTGTTCCATTCATCTTCATGTATGACTTATGCCACCATCACACTTTCTTGATTCTCCCAGCTTTACGTCAAAATTTAAAGGAAAGGAGTTTTAAAACTTTGTATTTCCTTCTCAAAGCTGTAAGGACTGATACCCACAGAGAAACAGCTCCTGGGGGCTTGCTTGTTAATGGCAGATGCTGCACATCGCCACATTAAGCCAACAGGGAGAAAGTAGAAGGTTGAAATGAACTGTTGAAGGCTTGGCCTGGAAACAGAGGGGACAAGTCCAGAGGAAGCTTGCCCCCTGCTGCCAGCTAGAGGAACAGCAGCTCCATTCACTCTCCGAGTACACTCAGGCAGATCCCAAGCCGTGTTCCTCCCAGAGGAGGAAGTTGATGAGAAGGCATTGCTGCAGGCCAGAAGGCAGGCAGGGAACTGGTAGAATAAAGCCTTGTGAAGGCATCCCTACTTCCCGCAGGATGCAGACCCGCCTTGAGTAGACTCAAAGGAGAAAATCACAGCAGAATACAGTTAAAAGAGGTTGGTTATGCTTTTACAGCACGTGGTGCTTGCTAGGCAAGTCCCCTGCCAGTGAACTTCTAGCTATTCCCTAGCCCAGGGTAGGAGAGTTTTGAGGAGCTGCTTCCCCAGAGGGAAAACCCTAAGCCAAGAGCTAAAGTCAATACAGAGGAGAGGAATTTTCAGTCCCTGGTATTATAGCAACAACAAACACCAGCTGTAACAATCCCACCAAGGACAAACCTCAAAACCAACCCAGATCCTGGATTACCACAAACCCCAGCAGTAGGGGAGAAAAAGAACGTTTTCAGAGACTGAGGAATCCAAGATGGAGGCTCATTGGTGGGTCCATGTATCTTGTCGCTGCTTCTGATGGCAAGCCACAGCTTTCATGTCCCATCCTCTGGGAAAGGAGGTCCCAGGACAGCAGGCAGAAGGGTCAGAGCCCCGCCCTGTGGGGAGCCCCAAGGGCCTTGGCGTTGTTTGAGTTCCAAGTTTGCCTTCTTCACGCTGCCCTTCCGGGATCTTCTGCTGCATGGTGCAGTTCAAAGGGTTTCAGTAGTGCGTGGACGGGCTGGTGTTCAAATGAGTGATTTCCCATGTGATTTATTCTCCAATCTGCTGGGCATTTAAGATTGTGTTGTTCACGTTTCCAGTTTTTGGTTTCTTTTTGTGTCAACTCCTATAAGATTTTAGATGTGACTGGTAATCACGTCATTTGCTTAGTATTGTCTCCGCAAAGAAGACAGTGGCTATTTTTTGTACAAACTTTCTGAGCCCGAGCTTACTCCTTAGAGCTACTATTCTGTTGTTGTTGAGTTTTGTTTTTTGTTTTTTCAAATTTCTTCTCATAGTTATCTCTGTGACTCAGTATAAGTTCAAAAATCAAAAAGACAAAAAGATAAGAATTGTGAATGACCTTGTTTCTTGTAGTTTAAACTTCAGTTAATATTGACTTCCTCTGCATTTATGTTTGTAATATTCTTTATTGCCCCTCTCTTTGAACTTTTACAACTGCATTTCAGATTAGGAAGCATTTAATTAGCAGGGTACCAATGGCTCACACTTATAATTCTAGCTACTCAGAAGGCTAAGATCTAAGGACTGGGGTTCAAAGCCAGCTAAGGCAAAAAAAAAAGTCAGGAAGACTCTATCTATAGCTAATTAGCACAAAGCTGAGCTAGAGGCATGACCCAAGTGGTAGAATACCAGCTACAATCATGAAAACCAAGCAAGAGTGGCAGGCCCTACTTTCAAGATTTAGGACCAATACATACACGTACACAAAAATACACACACAACACATATATACACATACACACCTATACACACTGGTACAGAGCTGTTATTCTATTTCACCCCCATTTAAAAAATAATATACCTTGTATATTTTAATGCTGTAATAAATTGGAATTCTACATGAAATGTCATTATTTCTGTACTCATCTTTTCCCATGAATTACCATAGCCTTTTAATCACTTATTTTTAATATCTGGCTTTGCATTTGTACCATAGGACTGATGATTGTGTGTATTATACCAGAGAGAAATGATAGCAATTAGAGTTCAAATTTGCAAGGCCAAACACAGTTATAATAGAATTGTATTTTGGAACAGTTGCTTTTGTGAAGATGGCTTACTTTCCTTCATTATGTTGTTTTTTGGTTTTATCTTTTGTAGGTGGTCATAGCGTACTGGTACCGAATTTTCATGGGGATAATGCACTTGCTTGGGATAGAAGCCAAGACCTGCTGGAATGTCACAAGGCTGGAACCCCTCAACGAAGTGATGAGCTGTGAAGGCATGTCCCCTCCCCCCATCCTGGGAGCACAGGGAGAGGGTCACCAATGTCTCCTTCGGAGTCTTATCAGCAACACTGTAAACACCTGGAAGTGACCTATGCATTGAGTGTCCTCAGGGCCAAAGGCCTTGTCCTTAGTAATTCGAGTAGAAATTGGAATATGAATGCTAGTATGCTCCAGTGCCAGGCAGTGCTGAGTGGAAGTCAGTCTTCTGTTTCAGAATAAGCACAAAGTGTTTTGGGTGACTTCAGAGTATGAATTTTGGGGAGACACTGAACAGTCAACTATATACTTCTAGGAGCTAATGGTTTTAGTGATGCATACACACCAGTAATCAGATAGACAGAGATTTTACACTCATAGACAATCAGAGACTGCATTGGAAATATGGGTTTGCCACATGTTCACAGCTTGTGAATAATTTGAATCAGACCCTTCCTGTGTATCTTCTGCATTGATGTTTTTGTCAAAAAGCCACTTTTGGAATTATTTGAGAGTTTTCCAGGACATGACACTGTCAGTTCTCTTTAGGAAGTCTGAGGCTACCCTGGAAACTCATGTTCAAAGCTCCCTCCGTCTCCTTGCTCAACCTTTGCACAATTGTTTGTGCTTTATCTCTGCAGACTCTCCATTGTCAGTACCTTCTATCTACATTATCTTTCATGTCAGTCCTGGGACTTGAACTCAGGGCCTGGGTACTGTCCCTAGTAGCCCTCTACCACCTGAGCCACAGCTCCATTTGTGGCTTTTTAGTGGTTAATTGGAGATAAGAGTCTCATGGGCTTTCGTGCTCAGGCCAGCTTTGAACTGTGATCTTCACAACTCAGCCTCTTGAATAGCTAGGATTACTGGAGTAATCTATACCTATATCTACATTTTTATACTCTTGTTTGTTTTCCCTACGCTTCCACTGTTTTTTTTTAATATATAAGTGTAAAACCAGTGTTCAAAGAAGATGTTTGAAGAACAATTACACTTTTTTTTTCCCAAGGCAAAGGAACAAACCAAATGCCTCAGAAAGTGAGAGGCATTTCTGTAATCATTCACCTAGAAAGCATAACGTTTTCTAAAATGTTGAAAATGATCACTTTCAATAGCTGTATTTAGCAGGCTTCTGGTGAGTGAACAGTTTAGTGTTTTTGGCACTGGGATACAAAGAAACAGATGGGTGTTAAGCCGTATCCTCAGAGAGTTTGTACCTGGATGAGGGTCATTAGTGATTACATGTAATAAGGATGTTAGGGGTAGCCGTAGAAGTATTTCAAGAAGAAGAACCAGCATATTCAAAAGTCCTGGGGTAAGAGAAAAATGAGAAGAGTAGACTTCGTGGAACAAAAAGAGAAGAAAATTGGTGGGAAATAATGTAAGGTCAGATCACAGGGGCTGGTTCAAAACGAGAGCCCCAGTGGATTGACACAGTGACACATGGTGTTTAGCAGCTGTTCAGAGAGGAGATTTGTCGGGGAAGCTGGCCGGTGCCAGACAGTGAAGAGTCCTGTAATCTTAGCGAGCATGTGTGGGAAAGTTACAGAGGTATTTGGGGAAGTAGAATGTTTAAGGGAGAAGAGGTGAGAGAGGGACAATGTAACTCAGCTTGGCGTCTAGTTTGAGGATCTGGGTCCCTTTAAATGGTCAGAAGCATGAAAGGTGCCAGGTTCGAGCCCTGACATTTCACTGTAGGTGTTTTAGTCGGAAATATGTAGGAGAGCTCAAAAGCAAACACTACCTGGGTTTAGGGATAAGAAGAAAGTTCTGGGCTGAGCAGTCGTGGATCCATCTTTATACAGAGAATAACTGTGAGCTGTGGATGCTGGAGACATAAGGAGAATACACATATAGAAAAGGTTACAATGACCAAGGTGGTCTTGTATTGAAGAAGGGCACGTTAGACCAGAGAAGTCATCAGAACACACAGTGGGGTTGAAGAAGCAGACCCAAGTCACCAAGCCCAGCCTGCACATCTGGGCTCCAATCATTTGCATCCAAGGGACTTTCACAGATTACTTATTTCCTATGTTCTGTTCCTCCACCATAAAATATTTCATGCCAATTGATCTCATAAATTTTATCTGAGAATGACACGAAGGGATTACTACAAGACCCACATAGGAAGGATCATACATAGAAGCAGAATCTCATGAATGGAATCAAAAGCCGTCTAGGCATACAAGCAGATCAAACAGCCAGAGCCACTCAGGTAGACAGAGGCACCGCCTTCCGAGCAAGGACCATGAAATATTCATCCAGGAGTCCTGGAAAGATAACATGAATGCAGTGGGTGTTGTCTGGGACCTCAGTAAGCAACAGTTCCAGACACTAGACAATAGTAACAGCTTCTAATCCAATAAGAAGCTCCCACAGCTCATTAGAGTGTAAAAATACTTCTTTTATTAAGAGACACATAAATGGACCTAAATATACATGGCAGGGATCAAGGGGGTGGGTCAGCCGCTGACCCATCCCCACCTTAGTATTTGCGAGGCCTTGGGTTCAATGCCCCAGAACTGCAAAGCAAAAACAAAACAAAAATCAAACTGAAATAAAACAAAACTCCCTCCCCCCCCCCACATACACACACACACAAACACCTCTAAGAAAGTTAGGGGGCTGGGAAGGTGGCTCAGTGGTAGAGCGCTTGCCTTGCATGCCTGAGGCCCTGGGTTCGATTCCTCAGC